GGTGGGGTATGTATGCCTGTAGTCTCATCTACTCAGGAGGCTGGTGCAGGAGAATCACTTGAGCTCAGGAGTTTGAGGTTACAAGTGAGCTGTGATTGTGATCTAGCCTGGGCAACAGATCTTGAGGGGAAAAAGGAACCTAAGGAATGATTTTCAGCAGAAAAGCAATATGATCATATGCAGAAAAGTAGCTAGGGGGGAGAAGGGGAAGCACTTAATCTCCTTCAATGAAATTATTAAATATTAATTTTTTAACAATTTGAAGGTAATGTATTAACATAACATGCGTGGGGGCGATGATAAAAAGAAGTTAGAGAAGGCAGGGTGAGAACGAGAAGAGAGGCTGCATGACAAGGTAGTTCCCCCACCAAAAAATGTAGATACCCTGCCCTAGATGTTAATGCAGGGCTACACCTCTGATAATTGTATGTGTTTTAACAACATTATTTTGGCTACTATATGGAGGATGGATTTGAGGGAATAAGAACAGACATGAGGAGACCAATTTGGAAGCTGTTAAGGTAGTTCAGGTAAGAGATGATAGTGGCAGACATTAATGACAAAGGAGTAGAGAAAAGTAGACAGATTCAAGAAACATTCAGGCAGTAGAATAGCTAGGACCTGGTGCTTAACTGGATGTGGATCTAATACCAAAAAGAGGTTGGAGATACAGCAGTCCCCCCTTATCCTTGGGGGATATATTTTAAGACCTCCAGTGGGTGCCTGAAACCTCAGATAATACTGAACCCTATATATACAGTTCATCCTTGAACACCACATGTGTGGACATTGCAGGTCCATTTATATGCAGACTTTTTTCAATAAATATACTGGAAAATTTTTTGGAGATTTGCAACAATTTGTAAACTCAGATGAATTATGTAGCTTAGAAATATCAAAAAATTAAGAAAAAAGTATGTCAAGAATGCATAAAATATATGTAATATTAGTCTATTTTATCATTTACTACCATAAAATATGCTCAAATCTACTATAGAAAGTTAGTCAAAACTTACACAAACACAGACCATATATGGTGCCATTCACAGTCAAAAGAAATGTAAACAAATGTAAAGATGCAGTATTAAATCATAACTGCATAAATTAACACATTGTACTGCTGCAATAATTTCATAGCCACCTCCTGTTGCTACTGCAGTGAGATCAAGTGTTTGAAGTTACCGCTTAAAACGCTATGTGACACTAATCATTTCCATGTTAGCAGCTCCTCTCTCCAGTGAATTGCGTATTGCAGTAAAAAGTGAACTCTCACAGTTCTCAAGTATTTTCCATCATGTTTAGTATCCTACTGTAAAACTCTGAATACCAACATGGGAACTATACAAAATACCACTAGAGATGCTGGAAGTGCTCCCAAAAGGCAGAGAAAAGTCATGACGTTACAAGAAAAAGTGGAATTGCTGGACATGTACTGTAGATTGAGGTTTGCAGCTGCAATTGCCTCCCATTTCAGACAGATAATTGATTCATGTTGTTAACAGATGACATAAACTTATAGTATCAATAAATACAGTAATGTAAACGTGTTTTCTCTTCCTTATGATTTTCTTAATAACATTTTCTTTTCTCTAGCTTACTTTATTGTAAGAATAGAGTATGTAATACATATAACATACAGAATATGTGTTAAATGACTGTTTATGTTATTGATAAGGCTTCCAGTCAACAGTAGGCTATTATTAGTTGTTTTGGGGAAGTCAAGTTACACAAAGATTTTCGACTGTGTGGGGGTTGGCACCCCAGGCTCTCAAGTTATTCAACAGTCAACTGTGTCATGTTTTTTCCTGTGCATACATACCTATGAAAAGTTTAATTTAAAAATCCAGCACATGGCCAGGCACGGTGACTCACGCCTATAATCCTAGCACTCTGGGAGGCCGAGGTGGGAGGATTGCTTGAGCTCAAGAGTTCAAGACCAGCCTGAGCAAGAGCAAGACCCCGTCTCTAATAAAAATGGAAAGAAATTAGCCAAAATAACTAAAAATAGAAAAAATTAGCTGGGCATGTTGGCGCGTGCCTGTAGTCCCAGCTACCTGGGAGGCTGAGGCAGGAGGGTGGCTTGAGCCCAGGAGTTTGAGGTTGTTGTGAGCTAGGCTGACTCCATGGCACTCTAGTCCAGGCAAGAGAGAGACTCTGTCTCCAAAGAAAAAAAATCTGGCACAATAAGATTAACAACAACTAATAATAAAATAAAACTATAACAATATACTATAATAAAAGTTATGCAAATGCAGTCTCTCTCTAAGTATCTTAGTGTATGTAATACTTCTGGACCGCAGCTGACTGTGAGAAACTAAAAGAGTGGAAAGCAAAACCACAGGTAAGGGGAGACTACTGTATAGGAAAGAGAAGAAATAGAGAAAGGTCTCTGAGGAGAGAAGGAATGGGATCTAGTGCACACACAGAGGGATGGGCCTTCATAGGAAGAGGGGAACTGAGAAACCAACGGAGCTCCCATTAGATGGGCTCTATTTCCTTTATAAAGCAGAAGGAAAGGTCATCTAAGAAAAGTTGGGAATAAAGAAATGAATGGAGGTTTGAAGAAAATAAAGAAGGTTTAAAAACACTGATGTAAAGAATAGACTCATGAAACATCATTGTTCAATTTCCATGGAGTATTGAGAGACCAACTGAAGATGGTGAATGTAAAACAGGGGTATCAATTTTCCTTTGTAGTTTTCTCACAAGTGTTCAGTTCCTTGACAGTAGGCACTGAGAAGACACAATAAAGGTTTCATTCAGGGTTGAGATTTTGCCAGAACAAATTGGAAAGAGAGGGAAGTGAATGGGGGTGGGGATGGAGAATGGAAGGTCAATGGATTGGAAATTCCAGTGAGGTCAGATGACAAGTGAAGTGCTGTATTTGAGTAAGCTGGCAAGTCTGGGAAGTTGTGATCAGAGAGTGAGGTGTGTAGAGTGGCAATTTGGGGGAGGAGCAATTTCAAATACTGATAAAGCCCAGGGTATGATTATGGGAGTGGACAGCTAAGGTAAATTGGAAAAAAAAGTCACTGACAATGAAATGAAAAAGTATACCACAAATGTTTGTTCTGAAGGAGCTTATAAACCTATGGGAAACATGAAAAAAGTTGGGAAATAATATGAGACTATATGACTAAGTGCTAAACTGTGGTTCAAAGCAGAAGTGCACTAAAGTTCAAAGAACAGAAAAATTATGAAATGAGTATAAAATTACAGATGGAAGAAGTAGCTGAATAGGCTTTCCTCCTCCCTCCTTAGTTAGCAAATTATTTTCCAACTGGATGATCAAGAGATATCTCTACACATACGGGGTATGTTCCATCAGTAAAAATGGTCGACTAATAAACAAGAACACAATCTGAGAATGTGCTAACCATCCCTATTCAAAGACTTTTTAAAAAATTAAAAGCTCTTTTAAAGTAAATGAAAACATCACAGCTGTAAAGAGTTCTGGTGGATAAAGATGAATTTACCCTTCTTGTAATACAAATAATAAGCAATAAAACTCATCAAAAAGCATTCCCAGTTATTCAAGGATTTAGTAGAACCAAAAATCCTAAGGGTTTTCAATGGATTTAAATGCAACTGGCTTTTCTTCCCTTCCTCCCTACTTCTCTCTTTCAACAGAATCTCACTCCGTCATGGTCCAGGGTAGAGTGCAATGGCATCTGCAACCTCAAACTTCTGGGCTCAAGAGATCCTCCTCCCTCAGCCTCCTCAGTAGCTAGGACTCCAGGCGCATGCCACTTCGCCCAGCTAATTTATTTTCTATTTTTGGTACAGACAGGGTCTAACTCTTGCTCAGGTTGGTCTCGAACTCCTGACCTCAAGCAATTCTCCCACCTCAGCCTCCCAATGTGCTAGGATTACAGGCATGATGCACTGCGCCTGGCCTAGCCTATTTTTAGATAAGCAAGCTGCAATGAATAGGCTGCTGTGCCACACACCCCTCTCAAACATTATAAAATTAGAAGCAACTAGAATACCTAAATCAAAATGTAACACAAACATGCACTCAGTTATTACTAACATATTTAAACAACCACAAGTTCAGGTTCTCCAAGGGAAATCCTCAGCTGGAGAAAGCTAGCTGAATACATCTTGTCAAGGTCCTTTAAGAGAAGAGTGATCCCCAAGGCAGCCAGGATCACAAGCCACAAAAGCAGCAATTCTAACACAGGGTAAATCTCATTTCTCTCCTATTCTAATGTGGAGCACAAGGTGAGTGAATTTAAAAGCCAAGGGCTTGGCCCAGCGTGGTGGCTCACACCTATAATCCTAGCACTCTGGGAGGCCGAGGCGGGCAGATTGCTTGAGCTCAGGAGTTCGAGACCAGTCTGAGCAACAGCAAGACCCCATCTCTACTATAAATAGAAAGAAATTAGCCAAACAACTAAAAAAATAGAAAAAATTAGTCAGGCACAGCGGTGCGTGCCTGTAGTCCCAGCTACCCAGGAGGCTGAGGCAGGAGGATCGCTTGAGCCCAGGAGTCTGAGGTTGTTGTGAGCTAGGCTGACGCCATGGCACTCTAGCCCAAAGTAACACAGTGAGACTCAGTCTCAAAAGCCAAGGGCTTTTAAAATTGTGTAACCTTGGCCGGGCGCGGTGGCTCACGCCTATAATCCTAGCTCTCTGGGAGGCCGAGGCGGGCAGATTATTTGAGCTCAGGAGTTTGAAACCAGCCTGAGCAAGAGCGAGACCCCGTCTCTACTAAAAATGGAAAGAAATTAATTGGACAACTAAAAATATATAGAAAAAAATTAGCCGGGCATGGTGGCGCATGCCTGTAGTCCCAGCTACTCGGGAGGCTGAGGCAAGAGGATCACTTGAGCCCAGGAGTTTGAGGTTGCTGTGAGCTAGGATGATGCCACGGCACTCTAGCCCGGGGCAACACAGTGAGACTCTGTTTCAAAAAAAAAAAAAAAAAAAACTGTGTAATCTTGATTGCTTCTATTTATGTGATATAACCCACATATAACATATTATATAAATCAAAATAAAAACTTTGATGTACATGCAGAAATACATAGGAGGCCAGTGATAATTTGTATGCATTTATACAGCAACTACCTCACTATGTAATAGTTAGAACATGATCTAACTAATCAGAAAAAGAAAATTGGTTAAAAATTAAAAAACTAGTAAGTATATTTTTAACCTCTTGTGGCTCTAATTATTAATATTTACCTCAAATTAGAAACTGCAGTAATCTACATACCTGAAATACAAATTTAAGTTAAGAGCAATTGCAGAGTTGGAGGAGCTGACAATCACCACAACATCTAGGTCTTGAGACACTTTCAGTGAAGTAAAAGAAGAAATCTTGGCTGGCTCCTGTTGCTGCTCATTATACATATCTTCCTGGTGAAGTACTAAATCCACATGAGCTACATGTGTACCATCCACAAGGTCAAAAATGTCTTTGAGGTAGAGTTAAAGAAAATGTCAGTTTTATAAGTATGCCTAACCACTTAAAACACAGGACAGGACAGAGCTATAGACTTTATTGCTCCAACCTTGTAGGTATAATTAGAAACTGAGGCAACCCCCATAATAATCAGATGACTACAAAGTTGGTGGCACAATAAACAATCTGATACAGAGTTCATTCAACAATACCTACTGAAGATCCATCCTGTGCCAGGCCCTGACACACTGCTATTTTCCAATAGTGCTATCCAAGAGATTAGGTGAACCTAATTTTAATATATTTTATGTAACCAATACTATAAATCCAAAATATTATCATTTCAACATGTAATGAATATAGAAATTGGCCTATTTTTTTTCTCATATAAGTATTCAAAATCTGGTATTTTACACTTATAGCACATCTCAATTTGGATACTAAATTTTCATTGGAATTACCTGATCTGCATTTAGACTTTGTAAAATTTATAGCTGAAAGTCAGAAATAAAGTTGTTCCAAATATACTTAAAAGTTCTCCAATAACTGAATTGAGTATCAGCTTTTAAATATAAAGTAATTAAATAAAATTAAGAATTCAGTTCCCAAGTCATGCTAGCTAATTTCAAGTGCTCAATAGCCATATACGCCTAGTGCCTACTATGTTGGAACTAGGTTCTACAACCTGCCAACAAAAATTAAGTTAATCTAGTATTTACAATATTTTTGCAAAAATGATACACCTAAAATATAAAAACCATTCTTTTAATTCAGAAATAAAAGTCCCAAAATCATATAAGGGGTCATTTTTCAAATCTTCAAAATAATTTTGCTGATGACACCTATACATCTGATAGAGACAAAATATTTTCCAAAAACAAATTAATAATGGTTAAGCAAACCATTTGTTAATATGATGGAATCACCATTAGAGATAAGAGGTGGATTATATTCATACATAAAAAAATATGAATCACATCATAAGCGGTCATTTCAATCCTTCCTGGAACAAGCGCCATAGCAGATATTCAATAAGTACATTTTGAATAAATAGGTAATACAGAGCATGTACAATTTTAAAAGACCATGAACGCATATGAATAAGATGATGACTATGAAAATTATGCATATACCAGAAAATATTCAAATAGAATATACAGTAATATAATTGAGTATTTTGAGTATCATTTTCCCTGAAAAATTAATCACTCTCCCTATATCCCAGCCCCCAAAACTAAAAATCTAAAAAGGCTCATTTTTCTAGGTATTCTCCTCCCCTACAGTATCAATAAACATCTTTATTGCCAAGGATACAGATCCAGCCTAAGCTACTCAAAATGAAAAGAATTTCTCTGCAGAGCTGTGCGTCGACAATCACATCCACTGCCTGTGCAGGCAAGGGTAGTGTGAAACACTTGAGTACTCTAATTTCAGCATCTCTTTCAGGAAAAATAATGCACAGGACAATACATTTGTTGATCAACAATAATGATGTGTTACTGTGAAATGACAGAATTCTCAAAGACAGTAAGGAAATACCTACAAAACAAAAGGATATTATTTCAAATACACAGTCATAATTTTACAACTGGTAAATTTGATTTTATAAACATAACACAAATAGTTACCTATTGCAAAAAAGCAAAAAAGAAACTGCACTTAGTCCAACTCTAAGCAGTTATTGTTCAGACCCACCTAAGTAAATGGTTATTGGGAGGTGGGTAAAAGGATGAATAAAGATGGCCCACTCTGATTCCTTCTGTTTATGGCCAAAGTCAGACAGCACACCAAAAATAAGATTCAAAAAAGTCAATTTACCCATGTGACCCCACAAGAATAATCAGATTTATTTTTTTTTTTGAGACAGAGTCTTACTCTGTCACCCTGGGTAGAGTGCAATAGCATCATCATAGCTCACTGGAACTTCAAACTTCTACGCTCAAGTGATCCTCTTGCCTCAGCCTCCTGAGTAGGTGGGGCTACAGGCATGGCTAGTTTTTCTATTTTTAGTAGAGATAGGGTCCTGCTCTTGCTCAGGCTGGTCTCCTGACCTGAAGGGATCCTCCTGATCCTTCCACACTGGCCTCCCAGAGTGCTAGGATTACAGGCATGAGCCGCCCAGCCAGATTTTTTTTCTTTTTTTTTTTTAAAGAAAAAGAAGGAACCTTAGAATCAAGGATGGAGAGTATGCTACTGCCTTAAAAACAGAAGCCCAAGTGCTCTGATTTCTGCTCCCTGCAGACATCAGGACAGGACACAGTCAACAACTCTGTAACCAGTCTAGATCAGCACTGTCCAACAGAAATATAAAGTGAGCCACACATGTAATTTTAAGTTTTCTAGTAGCCATTGAAAAGAAACAGGAAAAATTCATTCCAATATATATTATTTAGCTCATTTCTGAAATATTTCAACATGTAATTAGTAAAAAAAAGTTAAAATGTTTTACTTTATTGGTAGTAAGTCTTCAAAATCTGATATATATATGACACTTAAAGTACATCTTAATTCACATTAACCACATTTCAGGTGCTCAACAGCCCCATGTGACTGGTGACTACTATATGGGACAATGTAGATCTCCCTCCCTGATTTCACATCTATAAGAACTTGTCCTGTAATATATAAAATTATATGACTGGCTGGGT